ACGCGTCCGCCACACCCAGTACAGCGCCTCGTGGTCCTATAGGGAGCTCCACCGAAGGCCCCAATGGGGGTGCCCGCGTGCGTCCGCCACACCCAGTACAGCGCTTCGTGGCCCCATAGGGCGCTCCACCGAAGGCCCCAATGGGGGTGCCCGCATGCGTCCGCCACACCTGGTACAACGCTTCGTGGCCCCATAGGGAGCTCCACCGAAGGCCCCAGTGGGGGTGCCAGCCTGCGTCCGCCACACCCAGTACAGCGCTTCGTGGCCCCATAGGGAATTCCAGCGAAGGTCACAGTGGGACCGCCCGCATGCGTCCCCCCACCCAGTACTGCGTTTCGTGGCTCATAGGGAGCTCCACCGAGAGCCCCTGTGGCACCGCCCGCATGCCACAGGGAATTCACCGAGAGGCCCCAGTGGGACCGCCCGCTTGCGTCTCCACCGCCCATTACCGCACGCCCCATCACGCGATGCGTGGCCCACAAGAAGCGGCACCCACAACGCGTTATTCACAAATACATATGGTTGGGTCTTTCGCCCGGGTATTTTTGTTGGCGCAGACTTATGGCGGCAGCTTCGAGCATTATTGGGTGAGTGAAAATTCGCCTGGCGAAAAGCCACCTATATGCAGTTGCGACAACCGCGAATGAGATGAGACGAAGGAGGAGGGCACGCAAACCTCGAATAGCGCATGTGGTATACCCTCTGCTCTCATAGGCAGCGCGCAGTAGGAAGGACGAGGCGCGGAGCAGTGCGAGCAGGGGAGGGCGAATGGATGGGACGTGTGCGAATTTGCGGTGGAGTTCCCTACGGGGCCACGAAACACTGTACTGAGTGTGCCGGTGGAGCTCCCTATGGGATCACGAAGCGTTGTGCTGGGTGTGGCAGACGCGTGCGGGCACCCCCACTGGGGCCTTCGATGGGGATCCCTATGGTGCCAGGAAGCGCTATACTGGGCGTGGCGGGCGCATGCGGGTACTCCCACTGGGGCTGTCGGTGGAGCTCCTTATGGGGCCACGAAAGGCTGTACTGGGTGTGGCGGGCGCATTCGGGCACCCCCACCAGGGCCTTCGGTGGAGCTCCCTATGGGGCCACGAAACGCTGTACTGGGTGTGGCGGACGCAAGCGGGCACCCCCACTGGGGCCTTCGGTGGAGCTCCCCATGGGGCCACGAAACACTGTACTGGGTGTGGCGGACGCATTCGGGCACCCCCACTGGGGCCTTCGGTGGAGCTCCCCATGGGGCCACCAAACGCTGTACTGGGTGTGGCGGACGCATGCGGGCACCCCCACTGGGGCCTACGGTAGAGCTCCCTACGGGGCCACGAGGCGCTGTACTGGGTGTGGCGGACGCATGCGGGCACCCCCACTGGGGCATTCGGTGGAGCTCCCCATGGGGCCACCAAACGCTGTACTGGGTGTGGCGGACGCATGCGGGCACCCCCACTGGGGCCTTCGGTAGAGCTCCCTACGGGGCCACGAGGCGCTGTACTGGGTGTGGCGGACGCATGCGGGCACCCCCACTGGGGCATTCGGTGGAGCTCCCTATGGGGCCACGAAACGTGGCGAGGGGTGTGCCAAAGTGGGAGGAGGGGACGGGAGGAGGGGGGAGGGAGGGGAGGAGGTGGCAGCGGGAGGAGTGAACTCGGGTACCGTCTCTTCAAAACGAGTACCCAACACCACAGGACGGTTGGGAAAAAAGACGTGTCGAATGCCGTCTTAGGTCGATAGCAATCTAATTAAGTTTGGCGGGCGCAGCCGAAACAGTTATGCGAATGTAATTGAAACAAGCGGAGGGCCCTGAAGGGCAATAGTGTTCGCCTGCCAGGTCGCACCTCCTGCCTCATCCTCCCTCTGGTCCTCCTGCTCATCTTCCTGCCCATCCGCCACCTCCTCCTCCCCCAATGTGAGCAGGTCCCCTGTCTACGCTTGCGCATCACAAGTTTGGGCCCTTGCTGGAATTCCCAGTCCGCCATGACACGCGCCTGGGAAGCAAGAGGTTTTCAGCGCCATGGGAATGGACGGGTGCGCTGGGTGGGATGTCCGCTATGGCGCGAGCGCGCCCAGCCTGCCCTCCCCCTCTCTGCCGTCTCCCCCTCTTCCCCTCCTCCCCCTGCCCCCCTATCCCTCCCCCCTCTTCCTTCCTCCGCCCCTGCAACCCCTCCTCCTGGCCGACTCGGCAAAGACCGTCCATGTGACAGCGCCGATGCGAGATTCGGCGCCAGGTTCTCAACTGCAAGTCCCCGAAAGAGCGCCCAGATGCCTCCTCGGGAGGCTCATATGGGTGGCCTTGGGCTCGGCTCTGGGGCCGATGTGGCGAGGACGTCCCATGCGGAAGCGTCGATCTGCGAATGGGCGCCAGACTCCCCGGGAGTCTTTGGAAGTCCCCCCTTTCCGTGCATGTAGCAGTTCTGGATCGCCAGGGTTCTGTCCTTTTTAAGCCCACCTTGGTCACCTTCCGTATACTCTTTCGGATTCTGAGCTCCGGCCTCTCTGCCTCGAGATGAGCGTGAGCCTCAGCGTCAAGAACACTTTCGTGCACGCCAGCCTCGACGGTGCAGCCTCCGCGGGCCTGCGCCGCTCCAGCTCGTGCCCTGCTCTCGCCGCCGCCGGCGCGAGCCCCCCGGAGCAGGCGCGCGGCGCGGGCGCCGGCGCCAGCCTGCCGCTCTCGGGCCCCAGCTCCCAGCGGGCCTTGAGCCAGCTCGGCACGTGGGCCGACGTCGACGCGGTCCTCGACGAGGGAGAGCCTCCGCCCGGTCCGCCTCTGGTGGAGCTCGGCGGCCTGCGCTTCCCCGGCGGGGCCCGCGAGGTCTTCCGGGTGGGCGAGATGCTCTCTTCCTGGCCGCGCGGGAGGCCCCCCCGCTGCCCGCGAAGAGTGCGCGCACGCCCCTGAGCAGCAAGGCCTCGGCGTTCAGCCCCACCGCCGGCGGCCCTGCCCAGCACATGCCGCTCCGCCCGGCCTGCCCGCTCAGCCCGAGGAGCAGAACATGGCATTAGCATGATGATTCTCGGAGCTCCGCGCGGATTTCTCGGATCGACGCCTGGGACCCTCCTGGCGCCGCCTCTTGCGTCACCCCTGGCGCGCTCCTCGCGCCAGGGAGGGGGAGCTCCCGCGCCGATCCCAGAAAAATTCCGCTGTGCCCCTCCGAGAAGTCATGGCTATGCTATTCTTCTGTTCCTCCATATCAGCAGCAGGGCTTCGGCGTTTCTGCCGCGCTCCTCGCAGGCGAAGCCCGCGCCCGCCCAGGCCGTGGAATCCTGGGACGGGTGGGCGCTCGCCGCCCCGAGCCAGGCACTCGCCCCTGCGGTAACCACAGCGATGCTGCGCAACCTCCCGTGTGGCCTCACACGCGACGACCTGCTCCAGATTCTGGACCGCGAGGGGTTCGCGGGGCTATCTGACGGGCTGCGCCTCCTGCCGCTGGCCACGCTGGGACTTGCCGCGCCCGGGGGGCGGCTCCTTCTCCACGCTTGGGGCCTGCCGTGGTGTGTCCTTGGCAGGGCCATCGTGGGCGCTCCTGGCCACGTCTCGGGGCCTCTCTCTGGGGGCACTGCGGGGCCGACTTGGGCCATCCCCGGGACTCCGGGGACAGCCTCGAAGCGGCCTTGGGCCATCCTGCAGAAGCAAAAGATGGGACGGGTAGCGCCGTTTGAAAACACAGACACACACACACACACGCACACTCATATGCTTTTGTTATTCAATGTGCCCTGCTCCCTCGGAGGCGTTTCTGGGCCTTCCTTGGCAACGCTAGGGGCGTAGTTACTTGGACCATCTTCGGCCGTCTTGGAGGCTGCTGAGGCCGCCCTTACTGGTGCCTCTTGGGGCCATGTTCGAGGCATCTTGGACTTTCTCCACCGTCTGGTGGCACTGAGGCTTACGCCATCCCACCGTCCCGCAGAGGAGGAGATGTGCGGATTCCGAGTCCGTGTGTGTGTGTGTGTTTTTTTGTTGCCGCTCCTCGTCGCGCTGTCTGCGTGAAGTTGCCTCTGATTCGGCCTCCTCGTCGTCCGCGCCTGTTGCGGGGCTTCTTAGGGGCCTCTTCGAGGCCTGGGCGTGGTGCCTTTTTATAGCCCTTGTGGGCTGTGGGGACCGGCTCCGGGCCATTTGTGGGCCTCTTGGGCCGTCTGCGGCCGGTCTGGGGGACCTCTCGGGCCGCTTTGAATGAGCAGGCTTCGGAGAGAAAAATACAGAGCGCGAAACTAAGTGGAAAACGTATTGATTGTGTTGCGTCTCGAAGCCCTCTTTCGGGCCCTATTGAGGCCCTCTTGGGGCGACTTGGGGACTTTCCGGCGTGTCGGAAGTTGTAGAAGGCGTTGGGGGCATTTGGGCGGCCACGCAGGGTGGACTACTCTAAAGTGAGCTGGGCGATGCAGGTGAGTGGGAACGAGCGTGCGCCCGCGGCCGCTTGGCTCAAAGCGGCAGGCCGCCCAGATCGATTACACCTCAGTGCGAGGTGTACTATATGCCATCGATACCCAAACTGCTTGAGATGGCTCGCCTCATACTACTGGGACTACCGCTACTACGGTACAACAGAGCTGGAGCTGGGCTTCGCCTAAGGCGAAGCTGCTGGTCGGGCCTGCCAACCCCTTGCAAATTTGGTAGCGGAGCTGGCCTATGGTGGTCAGCTCTTGCTCTACTCCTCACCATCCACGGCACTATTTGATGAACTACTGACGTGGTGGAACATCAGGGTGCATTGGGCTTGCGCGGAGGAATGTATATAACTACGCAACATAGCAAGGACACTTGCAGTGATACCTCTGCCTACGCAGAGGCCTCTTACTCGCGTCCTACACCCCTGCGCTACTACACCCCTGAAGTCCACCCACCTACTCCACTTGGAAACTTCTTCGAAGACATAATGCATGGAAACATGCGATACGACATTGTGCCGCCTCCCCCCCACGCAGGCTTACGACCACACACAGCAGACCCCAACCAACCGCATGCGATTACGACCTACGAGGCCATTGGTTTGGTATAGCTATCTTTGGGCTCACATGGGTTGCTATTGGGTGCGCGGTGGGACACATGCGTGGTGGAGACGACACAAGAACGACTGGCCCCCAGTGGGACCCGTCCGGTCAAGTACCTTTCCGCGAATTCGCTCGCGAGGTGCATGCCTGGATCAACGTGACCACAGGCACCGTGACGCCCTCCCAACAAGCTGCAGCCATGCAGCGAGGCTTGGGAGACCTCGCACGGACCATAGCCATGAGAGTTTCCCCAGCAGTTATCCATTTCGGCGTAAGCAGAGGTGGCCGCCATACCGACCTCGTCGCCTACAGCGTGCTCCTCTTAAGTATGAAGTTCGAGAACCTAGAAGAGCAACGCCATGTCAATTCTGGTGCAGCTCTCATTGACTTTCGAGTCCATGCGGGAGAACGGATCGACCAGTCTTTGGCGCGCTTCGGGATAGCCCGCTGTGAAGCTGAAACGGCAGGCGTCAGCATCCCCAACTTCCAAATTCGAACAGTTATTTCATTCAGAGCCCTTGGAGTGGGGACGTCGCGTGCACAACAAATCCTACATCCACTAAACCACCACATGCCGAGGGACCAGCAACAGTTTGACTCTCCACTGGAACGCATGAGGTCATATGCCCACATTGCTGAAAGAACCCCTGGCAATATTGGTGGTGTCTTCAGCCGCGGTCGCCGCGCCGAGAGCTTCCACGCTGAGGCCAACGCAGGGCAACCTTCTAATAACGTCTGGAACGACTATCCGCAACCAACGGAGACCACCACGTGATTGACTCAGAATGGCTCGGCCTCGGGGTCGCAAGACTCCTGGGCCCGGTTTCGGGGGCCGCCCGATGCGGCAGCCCCCGCGCAAGCCACTGCCCTAATGGGCTCAGCGGGGCAACCTGCTGAGTCCGACTTCAACTCCGGCACCGACGCCGACGCGTTTGTGGACGAGGCTACCGCCCTGGATTACTCCGATATGCCCGCGTACCTGACGGGGGAACAACAGGCGCAATGGTTATTCTTAGGATACCAGAAACATAAACGCAGGTGGAGGCGACTTATGAAGAAGCCAGTTTGCAATGCACGGCGTACTATTCGACGGGCACTCAGGGGAAAGGGCAAGGGTCGAGGCAAGGGTGAAGGTAAACGGCGGCGACTTCATGGCAGAGGCATGTTGGCATTTTCAGCCTTCCTTTCTGGTCCGCAATGCGAAGAGATGTTCCTAGGTGTAGGCAGGAACCGCAGGCGCACATCAGGAAAAGGTAAGGGACGTCGGGGAAACCCAAGGGATGCCAACGGTAAAACTATGGAGTGCGACCCCTGCAATGGCGCGCAGCACTTTCGCCGCGGATGCCCTCAGGGCGATGGGAGAGGCAGAGGTCCGCCAATACATTTGGCTCAAACCGACCCGGACATACAGTATGTTGACTGTTTTTTTTTGGCAGACCCTGCCGACAACCCAGTTGCAGTTGTGACATTCATGGCTGCCAGGTATTTGAGTGCCAGCATGTCCCTCGAGATTTATGCCGACGAGCTGCTCGAGGAGATATTTACTGGCCGCCATCAGATCGACCTGGCAGACCTGCTGGGCGCGCCCATCGCGGGGCAACCTGCCGACGTTGAATCTTTCGAGACTTCCCACGCGCCCGCCGCAGGAGACGGCAAAATGGCGGTGACACCCGCGGATTCAGAAGTCATCATTCCTGCAGAAGTCATAACACCTGCAAGAGAGGAGGAAAACCAGTTGATGCTTTATCCCCGGGTTATTGGGAATCCGACGAACATGGACTTGAGTGATGATGACCCTTTGCGGGGACACCCGCGAGATGCTGGCGATCTGCCTAAGCGCATTCAGTGCGAGCTCGGCCACGACGAAGGACTTCAATATACATTCGCGGCTTCGGACCGCTCCTTGAGCCGCCAGGGGCGACCGGCAAGCCGCCAAGCCTGCAGGCGTAAGTATCGCGCCGACGACGATGACGAAGAATGGGAAGATGACGCACGTCTGGCGCGTCGCGGTCGGGCCCGCAGCGGCCCACCCGAACGCGCGCGCTTCAGCGGCGCTCGATTTGGCGGCCTTCAGCGCCCTCATCCCCCTGATGAGAGGGCCCCATGGACCCCTCCAAGGAAAGGCCAAAGATCTGGCGCCCCACCGAGGAGGGAGCGCTTGCGGGGGCACCCGCGTCAAGGGGAAGAACCTCGCGAATAATATCCAGAAGACGAAATACAGCGCCAGGTTGACCGCTCGGATGCTGGATTGGCTCGACCGTGCAATGACCCAGATACGATGCGACCCTGGTTGAACAAGGGTTGGGCTGAGCATCGGATTCGTCGCTGGCATTCTCTTCGCAATGTTGAACGAAATGATGAAGACAAAGTCATTTGCTCAAAAAGAAAGGGGGCTGTCAAAACGCAGGGGGCCCGCATGAAGCGTGGCGTGAAGAGGGCCACTATCGAGGAACGGAAACTGCACGGAGGTGTCGTTTGCACTTGCTTCCAGCATGCCGACCGCAGGCTCGGCTGCCCCGTGGGGCGCCCATCAAAGTGCCCCAACTTCCGCAAGACACCGCTGGTCTGGTCTCACGGTAATGGTCGGGGCCACTGCACCGATCGAGCACAAGACCACGCGACGAGCAGTTGACGGAAGACGACTACGAACAAGCTACAGTCCAAGAAATATTTCAATATATGAAGATATGGAACAACCTTTCACTTGTTCATAATTTAAAAAATAGTCAACCGCGATGGAATGCGTGGAAACCTGCTTCGCCCAAGACAGACGAAGACGACCAGCAAGAAGATGATGGAGCTGAAGACGTGGCCGAAGCGGTAGACCCCGCGGCAGCGGCTCCTGCCGGGCACGGCTCGGGCGATTCCGATGCCCTCTCCACTGTCGCGGAAGTCACTTACGATGCGGACGCCGCATCATCGCGGCAGACATGGATCCATCCCCAGGAAGAAAAGTCGCCTACCGCGCTGGACCTGCAGGCTGGGTAAAGATTACTGGTGACGAAAGGCTTAGCGCTACTAAATATGACCGTTGCATCAGGGGCAAGGCAAGTATTCGGGAATATGGCGCTCAGAAAGCCTGATCGGGTGGACCTCAACCCTGACAGAGATCCCATGCGCTATGAGCCACGGGCACCTGCAGGGGCAACGCCAAAGGCGCCTCCCTCTAAAGCAAAGACCAAATCAAAGAAAGACAAGTCTATCATTGCCTGAATCTTCGAGTTCTTCGAGCAATCCCAAGTCAATCGGTCCTGATCAGCTGAGGCCACCACCTGAACAGAAGAAGAGGAAACGCCGAGATGACCCCAACCCTGGCGATAGCAAGCAACAGCGACCTGCGGGGCAACCTGCTGATCGACGTCGATCCAGAGGACCAGCAGTGGCTGCCGCAGCAGCTGCACTTCAGGGCGCCAGCACTCCTACCCCAAAAGACCCTGTGCCACGTCGCGGCCCGACATCTGGCCGGACAC